CCTCCTCTCTCTCTCTCTCTCTCTCTCTCTCTCTTTCTTTCTTTCTTTCTTTCTTTCTTCTTTCCATGTCTGGTTATGTGTGTTTGCATGTTTGTGCACATACTCATTTTTTACCTTTGCATGAGACTATGGAGGCTAGAGATTGTCATGTATCTTTTAAAATCACCCTTAGTCTAATGTTTTGAGCCAAGATCTCTCTCTGAATCTTCAGCTTGCCATTTCTGCTAGACTGGCTGCATAGGGAGCTCTGTGGCTGGATCTACCACTCTCAGCACTTGGGTCACAGGTGCTTTATTACAGCATTGCCATGCCTGGCTTTTGTGTGGTATTAAGAATTTAAACTCAGGTTCTCATGTTTTCAAACACTTTACCTACTGAGCTATCCCCTAGTTCTTGAGAGTTCTCTTACTATAAAAGTTCATATTTAACTCCTTCTGTCCCTGGACTTGTGTGCTGTTGGTAACTGAAGCAAGATTCCTTTTATTTATTTGTTGATACCTACTAATATGTTATTTGACTTGAAATGAAGGCTTCAAGGAATGGCAGTCGACATCTATTTTTCTCTTTTTATTTGTGATCATATAAAGATAATTCCAAGACTCTTGTTTGCTTGATTGAATGCGGCAAAATGATAAACATAGACCACACATTGGGATCATCTTCCTGCTCCCTCGCATCGACCTGCAGCTTGGCTCCTGCAGCTCTCTCCATGCTGCTGCCTTATTTGTTTAAGCACTATGTGGCTGTCAGATCTCATGTCATGACAAATTGTTCATGTTGATATTTTCCTGATGATGGATTTTACAGGACATGGAGAAACATATATTTTGATGAATTTATATATTTCTCCACTTAGACAATACTGCAAGATTCACACTAACAAACAAAATTGAAAGTCAAGGGCGGCGTTTCACTATTGGATTGTTCAGATTTAGAAACTATGCTGCTGCAAGTGACGTAAGACAGAAACCTAGAAGACAATTCTTGCTAAATGTCAAACCATGCTAGCCATTGAAAAGGTCCATTAATCATAGTCAGAAATCAATGGCATCTTTTCAAGCAGCAGGAAGGACACACACAGTCTCAGAGCCTTGCTCAAGTTTTAAGTCCTTTTAGTAATCTGTTTCACTTTAATACACATGCTCATTATTTACTTCCCCTTCAGTACATATGCCTTTTTTTATTTGCCACAATAGTTGGGAATACATTGCCACAGGGAGAAAAATGCTGCATTTGAGGCTATGATGTAACTTATTTGTTATATAAACTAGAAAGCACAAGTCAAGCTGGGCAGTTCCTACATATGACTGTGAGTTATATCGTTGTTTTCTTAAAAATATGCATTTAAATATTGATAGCCAAAAGTGAATGAATGTCACACAGATAAAAGTAATTAATTACTATAAAAAACATTTAACATGCCATATCATTTTGAAAAGCTAATATTTTAAATTCATCTTCTTTGTTGAGAAATTTCTTATAAAATGTTCAATATCTTATAAAATGTATCAAGATCAGCAAAGTCTCTTTATAATGAGTGTGATATCTATAAAACTTACAATTAGGTAAGTGACCCATATGTCAAAATATAGCATTTTGTAAATAAATGTAAAGAAATAAAGATACTCTGCAATTGCAATAGAGTACATTCAGGTACATTTATACTATTCGTTCACCGTTTATAATCAGCCTTTCCGTAGTTATTAAAGAACAGTGTCAAGCAACATGAAGTATCTACCTCAGGTTACCTTACTGTACAATGATTATGTTAAATAAAATGTCAGCCAGGTTAACATTATTGTAACACTTCACAGAAAAACCTCCTATATCATCAAAGAAAGTGACTTATTTGGTGGTGAGTAGCACCTCAGAGGTATTTCTTCTTCACCACAAATTGGGCGTATTTAATATTTGTTGTGTAAGATTTACTTAGTGTATTTGTCAAAACACAAAGCAGCAGGAGGCTAAACAGGAGAAATTCATGCCCAGGAGGAGATCACTTCAAAAAGATAGAAGCTGTCTGGCTACTGTGGACTGTTTCATCTGCATGAAGACCAGTAAGTGCCTACTGTGTTTTCAGTGGCATAGTTATGATCAGATTGCTCAATGCTTGATCTATAAATCATGTTTCAAAGGGTTGGAACATTAAGGAGAAAAAAGGAAAAGGTGAAAATATAGAATTTATCAAGGAATCTGATCAGAGTAACGAAGTCGGGGAGGAGGAAGCAAATGGTGCATGTTGGATGTGGCGCAGAGAAATATCTGGGATATAGAAACTGTGGTGTGTGTGTGTGTGTGTGTGTGTGTGTGTGTGTGTGTGTGAGAGAGAGAGAGAGAGAGAGACAGAGACAGAGAGAGACAGAGACAGAGACAGAGAGAGACAGAGACAAAGTGATAGAGACAGGCACAGAGAGAGACAGAAACAGAGAGATACACAGAGAGAAACAAAGACAGAGGGACAGAAACCCAGAGAGACAGAGACAGAAAGACAAAGGCATAGAGAAAGATAGACAAGATATTTGATTCCAATAGGGTGCTGTTGAGCCTGGAAGGAAGTGATGAAGTGAACTAGTAGCCTACATAAAGTCATCTTCATTGTTTTACAAGCCGTTGTTCAGAAATAGTATTCTGGTCTGGCACT